AACCCTAAACCCTAAACCATCATAATGACAATTAAAAGAACCTTCTCGGACCCGGCCACGACACGACCTTCTCGTCGAGGGCAGACGTCCCCGCTCCAACGGTAAGCAGTGTCCTGTCAGGTGCTCTGCACCAGACAGGTGCACAGACCCCCCAACAGCTCCGCATGACGTCTCAGAGAGGAGTCCTCCGCAATCAAGGACAGCTTCGTGGTTACGGCAAGTTTGGGTTGTTATCATTCAGAAATTTAGACATTGTGGGTATGGTATCGGGAACGTGCGTGATTGCGTGGCATGCTTGGCCACCTACATCACGCCGATTCACTGGTTGTAAGTTGAGGATTTTCTACTGCAAAAAAGCCGATCTGGTTGTTTATCAGGTGCCTCAGTTCGCTACTTTTTTCGCGTTTCAAGCCCGTTAGGTAGTTCGTCGGTTGTGATCAGTCTGCAATCTACACCATCACCGTCGCGAACAGGATTATTACCATTCCAATCATGCCAACTCCGTCACCTACAGTGGCCAGATTGGCAGCGCAAAGTAAAATTGGAGATGCGAAGACAGCAATCGGCTGCTAGCTGTTAGAGGCTTCGTTATTTCATAATTTGGTTTGGTGGGGGGCCTGGGGGTGAAGGCTCCTTCCACAGGGATCCGCAAGGTTGTACTTGTTGCTTCACTACGAAGCGGAGTAGAGTATCTCGTCGTAACTACGTGGCCTCTGTTCCCAGAAAACCTCCGCTGTCCCATCCTAGTTGTGGAACCCTTGCACTAAACCAAAAAACCCCAAATCCCCAAAAACCTCGTGCTTCCTCAGAACGCTAGAAGCTCAGACCTAAACCCTAAACCATAAACCCTTCGTCCCTACACACAAAATAATTACCCTAAACCCATAAACCCTTAGTCCTGACGCGCCTAAGACCCCCAAGCCCTAAATTTATCCCTCTACCCGACACCTAAAACCCTACCTCCCGAAACCCCTAAAACCCTAACCCCCTGACTAAGCCCCTAATGTAGGGGCCTTAATAATTAGAATAGGGCTTTGGGGTATATTATATTATAACTCTATAACTATAGTAAGGAACCCCCAAATACTCTTGGTAATCGTTTAGGCCCCTATATTCAACCCCTAAACCCTAAACCCTAAACCCTAAACCCTAAACCCCAAACCCTAAACCCCAAACCCTAAACCCTAAACCCCAATCCACAAAGAGCTGGAGGTCCTCGGGGTCGTCTGCCTGGGCTGGCG